GGGGAGCCAGGCTGACACCAAAAATGCCTTCGTGTTCCGCGGACTGCTGCCTACTGCGGGCCGTGGAGGTAAGACCGCTCTCTTTCTGCGTCTCTTATCTCTCCTTGTGTGTGTGTCTGCCTCTCTTTTTACACGTGAAGACTGTTTCTCTTTGGAGCACTACTATGATTAACCAGGGGCGAGACATGGAATGTGTAAATACCTCAAAGGCTAAAGACAATTTGTCTTTTTCGGAGATGTGAGCAGAGCAGTAAAAAAAAAAAGAAAAGAGTCAAATACATCAGCAGCTTTGAATGATGGAGGCTCCCTTGCCTTTCGCCTTGAACATTTTGGGGGGATAGAGCGCCTCAGGCCTGATTTGTACAAACTGTGACGCTATGAGCTGCGTCTTTCAAGAAGAGAACAGAATTTCTTTGTCGTAATATGTCATGTGGGAAGTGTGCATACATGACATGTGTAGGCTTAGTAGGCTGGATTCCTGTGTAGGCTTAACAAGGCTGGATTCTTCTGCAGGTCAGGCTGATCTAGTTTTCTCTGTGGGCCATTAGATGTGTGTCATGTGAACGTGACTGCATGGGTTCCTTTCGGAAAGCCAACCTGTGGACTTAGTGGACGTAGATTTAGGACCATTTACCATAATAGCGATGGCAGTTATGTTTCCTGGATTGTTTTGTTGATTTCCAACAAGGGAAAGCTTAACCACAGTATATACACGGATATACAACAATATGAGTGGAGATTGAGCTACATAGAGACCCATACACTGTTGCGATACATTATATACATTATATTGGACAGCAAAGTAGTGACTCAACATGTGTGTGAGTATGTGTTTGAGTCAGTATTGTTAATAGAGCAAAATTAAATTGGGTGTTATCCACAGATTGGGTTATTACTGGTCCAATTTCAACATATTAAGTTATGACAAAAATAAATAACTTGTGTCCGTGAAGTTGAGCTTGAAGCATATTCAATTGTCATGTCTTATTTCTGGATACTTGTATACATTTTTGTGATACGCTATGATTGGAAACACCATGCTTACTTCCTCTTGAGCTACAGTACATATATCCACTGAAAGCAGATACTTGTTATACACACACTACGGTATATTTGCTTCTATATTACACCAACAAGTTGCTATAAGAAATGCTTGTCTGCGATTTCTTACAACCACAATTGCTACATAGTTTTGAATGTCTGTTCTTTTCTATTGTGTGCTATAATTACAGGCTTGTGTATGTTATAGTGTATGGGGTGCTATATGATAAATACTATGCTAGTGTTTGAAGAAAAGTGCTGGCTTCACCCACCTATTAGGCTGAGTTTTCAAAAATGGGTTTGTGTTAAATGACTTTATCACAACTAAGTATTCCCTGAGGGGTTACCATGAAATTTATATTTAAACCGACATCTTATTCTTAACTTATCCTTCGCCATTGGTAAGGTCTATCAATCTGTAGTTTGCCAAACTACCTTGAAATGGTCTACTGATCTCTAATACGTTTTTTCTTTTCATAGATTGTGAAGATCTTCAGTGAAGACGGCATGTGTAAAGTTGTGGAGATCCCAGCCGACATGACAGCCAGGGACCTGTGCCAGCTCCTGGTTTATAAAAGCCATTGTGTGGACGACAACAGTTGGGCACTTGTTGAGCACCACCCGCTGCTAGGGCTAGGTAAGAGGCAGAGCACGGAAAGGCTCGAAAATACTGTTCACTCACACACACACTCGCACACCTACACAAAAACTCAGGGATTTTCTGGTGGGCTGAGACATGCAATACAATCAGTGGCATACACAGGTGCATTGACACATATGTATGCATGCATGCATGCATGCATGCATGACAGCGCACTCGGGCAGACAGAGAGTTCAGGCGCATATTCTCACGCAGGCATGTATTCAAGGATGAGTTCGTGCACATACTACACAGCATATGCGCGCACTGAGCGATCATGTACGGTGATCTGATAAAGTACAACACAGTGGCTGTGTGGAAGGTTGCTGTAGCAGTGCAGGATTCTGCAGACAAGGCAGGGAAAAAAGTTATCTCGTGAAAAACTGAGAAAGACATTGAGCGCACACTTTCAGCTGCTTGTCATTGAAAAATATGTCAGTTAAAAAACGTATTGAGCCGCTTGTGCGCGAACAGAACGTGATGGAAATAGACGAGGCATTGCACATGAAGTCAGAGTTTCTTCAGCACTGACAGGCCAAGGATAGTCTCACTTAGTAAGATAAAAGAGATGCACTTACAAGATGCCTGAGTTGTATGTACATGTATTTGTGCTGTGGGAAGAGTCAGAGTGTAAACTGATGAATAATCTTGTCAAAATAATATCTGATGCTAATTACAGGTATGTTGAGATAAGTTCAATTATTGTCTTGTTTACCAACTTCTCAGTAAAAACAGTCATATCGGGCTGATAAAACATTCCAGCTTCATTGTATAGTACGCTTGAAGCAGAATACAAAATGAGGTATATTTCAGCTCAGGGTTTCCTAAAGTTATTGCATGCAAGTAAACAGCAGAATTACTGTAAGTGGAGACAGTCTTTCCAAGGGGCCCTCATTAAATCTAACCAATACTCCAGGACCTCTTGGGGAACCGGCATAACTCTCTTTGGTACCCGCTCATAAATTAAACAAACACAGTAATTGATAAATGGTACCACCCTAAGGCCAACATATTGAGACTTGTTTGAGCATTATATTGAGTTATTTTATTTGGTGTTTGCGGTTATGAGAAAAGTTTATGGTTTTTGCAGAGGATAGGGTAGTGAAAGCAAGATGTATTTGACACCCTTCACTGATATTTTTAATCTGGTAGGCTCATTTAAGGTCACGAGACTGCTCATAATCAGTTCTTTTTCAGACTCCAGATTAACAAGATAATTGTCAGAAGATTACATTTAGTTGTTTTCTTTTTCCTTAAATTGGGAATGAAGGGTTCAGAGTGGAAGCCAGCCGATGAGAAGCTTAAGGAGGTGAAGGTTATGGATTAGGAGATGTAGAGATGTAACTGATGAACACTGTAATAAAACCTTTGCCGACTTGTGCTGCTGTCAGTGTAACAAACAGTGTAATGTTATCAATCCAGTGCTATAAATGACACGGCAGAGAGGTGATGAAATGACTGATGAGCAGTTTAAAAGGCTATGTTTCATGTTAAATGTTCTTTATGACTGAAGTGGCGATACCATCGATACCACTCTCTCCCGAATATAGAAACCCTCACTGCATCAGACAGAGACCTCAGGACTAATGTAGTGTTAAAAAGGTCAAAACGATGTCGGCAACCTACTCAGCAATGAGGACTAGATTTCTATGTAGAAATTTAAGTTAGATATAACAGATTTACATGTTACGTTTTAGTTCTCCTGTCGTTCCTACATCGTAGATGTTGCATGTCATACAGTAAATTCTTCATAGATTTAGGAGTAAACATAGCTTGAGGTATTTGAGAAAGTGAAGGGAAGGAATAGTAGTGTAGCTCACTGAGCTTGGCATGTTAGCTCCCATTTGCTAAAAAACTACAAGACCAGCACACTCACTGTTTTGATATTCTTGAACTCCAAATGTGACACTGAAATGACGTAACAGTACGAAACAGTATTCAAGAGAGATGCTCTATTCCAGGGGTTGATCCAGGATTTTTTTTTTTTAACTTGTTGCTGCATTAAGAAGGAAGAGAGCTTTGCATTTCTGTTTTGTGTTAGACTTGGCATTATAACAGTAAGTTTGGAAAGCTGTGGTCAGCTGAACGTTAGAAAACTCAACCTCCCCCTGAGGAGAGGGCGATTATAAAGCACTTACGGAAGACAAGTTGAGCCTGTGCTCTGTGCTCATGTCTTTACAGTTCAACAGATGTGGGAGAGGAGGGGGTGTAGTTTTATATTGAGCAGTGTGCCTGGTAGTGAAACATACTGTAGGAAGAGACATGGTGAAAAACAGATGTATAAACACTTAAATTCTGCTGTTTCAACCGACAACTTGTGTCAACGTATTTTTGGCTGTTGTGCTGTCATGTGAGGAAACTTTTCGAAAATATATGGCATTATTCAAAGTACAGGTCCCAACTCTCTAACTTAATATTTCACTATCCATCATGATCTGATTACATTTCTCATCATGCTGCCAACACAATTCTGCCAAATGCAGTTAGGTCGGCTTGTTGTAAATGACATCATTTTTTGGCTCGGAGTAACTTTATTCTATTATAGCCTTTCTTCTGTTCTGGGGCACCTGTACTGTAACCATATTCTTTTCAGGTCTGGAATATCTACTTATCGTATTTTATGTTTGGGAGTTTCAGAAAATGGGATGTGATGAAGCAGCAGCGGCATGCTGATTGTTCAAATTGAAGGGTTAAGCATTTGCCACTGCAGAACCAGTAACCGTCCGACTAAATGTGTCTGCGCGTTGGTTTGTCGATGTGTGAACCTGATACAAGAAAATAATATAATATAAATTAATACTTTCCAAAAAAGTATGCTCATCACAATATGTCACTACTGCTGTTAAAATGGTGGTTTTATGGAAGTTTAAATACATTTTTCGTTAAGTACCAATGTCTTTTGTAGTTGTGTGTATAGTGTATGTTGACGGAGCCACCTGAGAACCAATGACCTATTACTTAATATAATATTTTAAATAATATTTTAGACATTTCCATGTATATATGAAGTGCTTGTTGCAATACGTATGTGTGCCGTCAGACTTCCTGCTGGGTGGTAGACGAGAATAGAAGTTTCAGAGAGACCCGAACAATAGTGTGTTTGAATAGAGAAGCCTATTCCCGTACATCACTGCCCACTCGCTGGTGCGCTGCTGAATGGGATGAAATGGCCCTTTGAGATTAGTGACGCTGACCTCTGCTTGTCACCCTGAAAAGGTTAACAACTCTGGGACAGTGAGGTAGTGTTGCCAGGGTGAGTCACTGTCACCAACACGAGTGACTCATCAGACGGGCGCGACAAGATGCAACGGAAAGAAGAAGAAAAAAGAGCCGTAACCGTGTCAAAGAGATTGTGAAAGAGGTGATAAAGAGGTAGAACACGGGGACACATGCTAATGATGATTATGTGAGAGGAAGTTGTGCAGTCGAGTTTCTCTGAAGTTCTTTATTTCACATGAAAAAACAGATGCAAATACTGCTATTAGTTAATCAAAAGCGTTTTAATTAGATATACTGGGGAAAGGAAGATGTCTTTTTAATAAAGACATGACGGAGAGAACTTGCATGGCTGTTGTAATTGAGAGAGTCATTACCAATTTTAGCATTGCAGTCGCAGAATATAAATCTCCAGGACCTCTGACCACATCCATAAAAGGACACACTTTTAGTTAAATCACAGCCTATTTTAACCTCATTGAAACACTCTTGGTCTGATCATCAGTCACAGCTTGATGAGCATGAGCCATTGAAACCAGTCTGCATTTCTAAACTATTAGACCTATAGATATATAAATCCTGTGTTGATGTGTAGTTGAAGTCTGCTGTTTCCATGTGCAAATGTGTGTAACTGCGACCGAGATGTTATTAGCAAAAGAAGATTAGTGCTTTAAGCTTAATATAGAAAGGGAGCTTCACGTGGAACAAACATCTGACTTGACATGTATAGACGGTCAGGTTCTAAACAAGGAAACAATGCACTTGTTTAAGAAAATGCACTTTCAGTTTCATTGGGAACTGGTGCTATAATCTCACACCACTGACATGTTTTTGTTGTTTTAGAAAATAAGATTGTTAGTGTTTATTAAAGAAGACCACATTTACCAAAAATACTAACCTCATTCACTGTTGTCGTTGCTCTCTCTGCCTGTCTCACATCAGAGCGCTGTCTAGAAGACCACGAGCTGGTGGTTCAGGTACAGGCCTCTATGAACAGCGACAGTAGATTCCTCTTCAGGAAGAACTATGCCAAATATGAATTCTTCAGAAACCCCCTGGTAATCCATTTTTTTTTTTTTTTTACACATTTCTAAACGTGCTGTGTCACTCCTGACGTCCTCTCATTAAAATATATGTTACCGTACACCTAATAGTCTGTGAAGACAAACACACTTGCAGCAACAGCTCCTTGTGGATTTTGCATTTTTAGATGATTTGAAACGGTTAAAAAGGATAGCAGTATTACAGCAGATGGTTTCTAATATTCACAACATTCAGTCAAATGAAAAAAGATGTTCAAGTAAAGAATTGACTGGTGTTATTTGCTCTAAAGAGTGGCCACAGAGACAAAATGAAAGACATGTTCTTTTGGCAAAGTGTCTCCACGTTGTGTATTCTTGTGAAATACTGCCAGCTGACTAATGAGATTTCCCTTTTCTGTCACAAATTCCGAGCCTGTAATTATTGTCACAGTGGCTGATGTTCTCTGTCTGTCTGCCGCCGTCTCTCTCCACCTTCTTATTCTTCCACCAGACATTTTTCCCGGAGCACATGGTTGCATGGTGCCAGGAAACCAATCGTACGATTCCACCGTCTCAGCTACTTCAGGTACATGCAGCGCACACACTCCAAACGCGTCTCTCTCCGTCTCTCTCTTTCTCTGTCTATCTCTCTCTCTTTCTCCTTCTCCCGACACGCACACAGCTCAGAGTCAGCACCCACTACATACTGTACAATAAAGGCGACATACCTCACCTCTGACCCTCAGACAGAGTGTCTCGTCAGAGCCTGCAGTAATAACTATCGTTGATCCCCTGTTGACACATGACTGTCTCGGCACACGCACCACAAGCCCCGCTCTTATGGTGGATGGAATTAAGCAGTCAGAAATAGCAGTCGGGTACCTACCCGTATGTTTACACAGCACAAATTCACACACTTGTGTCATGCTACTTATCTGCTTCGCCGACCACTTCACGGGCCATACACTGCTTTCACAAAAGATATGAAGCAAAGAAAAAGCCTGTGAGGAGACCAGACAAAAAGATTCTTGGGATTTTGAAGAGCTTTGGTCTTAATGGATGGAGGGTTTAAATGTAGTCTGGCTCTCTCCTGTATCAAGTAATGGAGCTGTCAGAGACAGAACCACAAGTGGAATCCATCCCTTCATCCTTGCCACTCACAGAAAGCTTTTAACTCCCCTGCTGATCATGTAGACGTTATGCTAGAGGAGTCGATAAATGCATGGGTTGTGTCAGGAATCCCCGGCGTTTGACTTATTCTAAATACAAGGTCTTTGCACTCACTAAGAGTTCTTTCCAAACCAAGACCCTTTCCGACCCGAGCTCATCCAGGTGTTTGCAATATTTGCCATTTATGCAACGCAAAGCCGCAAGGTGCAGTGCCTCAAAAAGAACTGTCGGAAAATGCTCACGCATGAGGCCCATCGTGGAATGTTTCCAAAACACTGGGAAACATGTGCTTTAGATATTGAAGAGTCCTCTGGAACAGTTTTCATTCCAGCCGCAAGCCACAGATTCCAGATTGGCTCTAATAACTTAACCTGCCACTTCATGGTGTGATATTTTTGTGAAACATGGAAACCGCAAACTCTTTCAGACACCCACAAGACATATTAGTCGTTAAGGGTTTCCAAAAGGAATGCACTGTATGCTAATCTAATGTATGTACTGTATTTGTCTTAGCAGGTACATTGCACAACACAACACTTTGTGATTAGATATTTATTTATTTTTCCTCTTGGTATTTGAAATAGAAAATACAAAGGTTTTTAGAAATCCATTACAGGCCCTGCTTTAAACATAGATAACTTATGTATATATTGTAAATGTTTGTGTATGTATATACACATGACGATGTCAAGATCCTGTCAGCCTTCTTCGGCCCTCTACAAGGCTCTACAGCGTTTGATTTTTCAGACAGTAGCACAATGTCTTGCTGGATCGAGGTCGCTACCGTGGTGTGTAAGAATTCAAGCTGCCGCCCCTCTCAACCATCGGCTGTCGGTCTTGCACCGGTGCAAGAAGCCCAGATGACATTGTGTTCTTTGCCTCTGTAGATGTCCACTTGTTGTGTGCTGATCCCCTGCTCAATGTCTTTCCCTCAGAACTTCCTAGCAACCAGTAGCTGTCCAGAGATCCAGGGGTATCTGTATGTGAAGGAGGTGGGTAGAAAGTCATGGAAGAAAGTTTACATGTTCCTGCGGCGCTCAGGACTCTACTGCTCTACAAAAGGAACCTCAAAGGTAACCGCAACTTCATCTGTTCATCTTCAAGGGACTGAATATAGTTCATTGTCATTTTTCTAACCTTTTTTTTTTTCACTTTACAGTCATTATTTATCAATAAATCATTCAAATGCATATTTTATTGAAATCTTTGTAGTAATAAGATAAGTTAATATTCCAAATGAAACATATTATCCTTTAAAGAATCAGACTTTTATTGATGGTGGTCTCTCTGCATATGCCTGTGAGTATACCTCCAGGCTGTATCCCTCTGGGATGTTCTGACTTATTAATTATTTCTGTGTCTAGGAGCCCAGACATCTACAGTTTCTAGCAGACCTTGACGACAGCAACATCTTCACTGTCATCACAGGCAAAAAACAGCACGGCGCACCGACAGACTATGAGTTCTGCATCAAGGTGAGTCTCAGATGACAGGATTGAGATGAAGCTGATTTCTGATTAAATATTATGAGGTGAGGAATGATTGACAGCAGCCATGCCGCTCCCTGTCTCACGACAAGCAGGTTGGCATGCATATATGTGGGCTGATGTTCTGGTTTATTGCTGTAGTTACCTGATATTTTCTTATTTTTCTAAGTTTTATATATTGTAGATAAGCAAACAGTAAAAAAAAAAATGCCCTTGTCAACTCAGTTAGTTCCATTAGTGATGATGGCGATAATGTTGGTGCTGGTAGTGATGATGATTATTATTTTCTGTTGTGATTCTGTTAATTCGCAGCCCAATAAATGTCGAGGGGAGTTGAAGGAGTTGAGGATGCTGTGTGCGGAGGATGAACAGGGCAGGACCTGTTGGATGACCGCCTTCCGGCTCTTCAAGGTAACAGCAGTACAACAAATATGTGACATATTTTTTTGATGTATGTGTGCAACATGCTCACTAAAAATCTTGATAGTGTTGCTTTATGAGTGTGTTCCTATTCCTTTACAGTATGGGATTGTATTGTACCAGAATTATAAGATTCCCCTACAAAGAAAAACCTTACTTTCACACTTCTCAGGACCTGTGGTAAGTTTAATGCTTTGTTTTAAATTCAGTTAAAGCACCTTAAAACCTACACCACTAAATCAACTTTTTTTAGCGTGACAACATTGCTTTGAATAAATCCTCCATCTTTGACATGAGCAAAACATTGATTTTGCTGGAATACCAGTGTGATGTATGCACCACGAAAAGCTTACTAACTAATCTAACAAGCAGGAGATGGAGGATAAAAACAACTTTTTATTGCACTGCCTGTTTACATTTGTATATAGCTGCATCCTGGCACTTCTGTTGCTGTCCACATTTTGAATGTCGTGTATCTCTGTCTCCCCCTAGCGGAGTGTATCAGAGAACTCCCTTGTGGCGATGGATTTCTCAGGGAGGATAGGCAGGGTGATTGACAACCCTGTAGAAGCTCAGAGCGCTGCCATGGAGGAGGGACATGCGTGGAGGGTGAGACACAACCTCAGTGTTTTTATGTTATCTCTGTCAACAATGCTTGGAGTGAACCTCAAAAGATCTCTGCAGATGTCACTATTTATTTTTGCTCAAACATTCACACAGAGCTGATTTTCCTCTGGTTGTAAGTGTTGATTTTTCAGTTGTTTTGACCTGAATAGTTGTTTGTGTATTCATGAAGCTGATATTGCTGTGGGGCAGCAGGCAAAATGGGAAAAGTTTGAATTCATTAAATTAGATTTAACATAATGGATTGGGACTGTTTTAAATTCTGTCCACATTAATTAAGTAATTATCATACAGTGTTGATTTTGCTCTTATTTAAGGTTTAGAAATAATTTTACAATACAGTAATAACTGTTGTGTGGCTTTGTATTCACTGTTGGGCATCTATTGAGAAACACTGAATACGGAGAATATAACACCAGATCATGAACTAATCCCTGTTGTTTTGTCTGTTTGCGGCGTCTCTCTCAGAAGAGGAGTCAACGAATGAACGTATTAGGCTCCCACAGTCCGCTACACCACTCTTCACTAAGCTCAGGTAAACTCAAAAAATAATTTACTAAATTCTTGATTGTCAAAATTCTTTTGACATTTTTTTTCCTTCAATTTAGATATTTTGAAACAATTTGACAGTGTGCTAAAAATTTTTATTTTTTTTTTTAATTGTCTCTGCAGTCATCCACATAGCTCAGTTGTGGTTCCACGGCAGGATAACCAGAGAAGAATCCCATCGCATTATCCACCAGCAGGGACAAGTCGATGGGTAAGGGAGCTGGAGCTAAAACTTAATTTGACTATTTACTAAATATGAATAAAGCACAAACGAATAAATTAAATTATAATATTTGTTTTAATATTCTTTCTAAATGCATCCACAAAATCAAATCAACTGAATATTTTTCTCACAGCATCTTCCTTTCTCTCGTGACACAGGTTGTTTCTGCTGAGAGTCAGTCAGAGTAACCCCAAGGCGTTTGTGCTCACATTGTGCCATCACCAGAAAATCAAACATTTCCAGATACTACCGGTATGCATGTCTTGATGTTTCATTTGTTTTCGTTTTTTTACATACTTTCAATTTTTTTATTTTATTTAAAAGCAGTCATTGTGTTGAAAGAAGTGAATACAGTAGTAGTAGTTTGTATGTCTTGGGTCTATGTCTTGAGGACTAACAAAACAGGAATTCAAACTTTTTACAAAGCGGCATCATTACGTAGTTATTTCAGCATCCCCCTATTGTCTGTTTATTGCAGTTAAATCTCAGCAAAATCTGTTTATTTTGTGTTCACACAGCTGTAGTAAACAGCCGGCGTGTGGCTTGCTAGACACAGTGAATACAGCTCGATAAAATCCACGGAGCTCCTCCGGACTATGTTATGAACCCAGACAAGAAGGCGTTTAGTGTCCCGGGATATCTGGGACTTCCGCAACACGTACTAAGCGGAAATAGAGGTTATTTTTTCCATGGTTGATGGTGGAAATAAATGGATTAAGTTATTAACGGCTGGTGTGAACGCATCTGTTAGCCCGAAAATAATTGTTTTTGTGAGCTATGTCATTCCCAGAAGACAAAACTTTAACCGTTAAATGGATAATATGAACTTGGTCTCAAATCCAGGAAATCAATCTTAGGAAATATAATGTGTTTTTTAAAATGGTGAGTAGTAATGGGTTATGCGATCTGTTGTTAACAAGCCCAAACATGTAAAACCATTGTTATGGTCCTTAAAAAAATAGTCTGATGTTCTTTCCTCCCTTTTTGTCTTGCCATGTGGTGTGTCCCTGCTCCCTCTTGCCTGGATATTTTGACATTGGCAGTGTGAAGAGGACGGCCAAGTCTTCTTCAGCCTTGATGACGGCGCCACCAAATTCACCGACCTGATTCAGTTGGTGGAGTTCTACCAGCTCAACAGAGGAGTGCTGCCTTGTAAACTCAAACACCCGTGCACCGCCGTGGCCTTATGACATCTTCGGATCGTCTGACCCCATGACCCCTATCACTTGACCTGACTCTGCCTAAAACAAACAAAAAGAAAACTGTTGGTTGGTTCTATTTGTTTTCATTTTTACAAGAAGCTGGTGAATTTACTGATGTTTCGTTGTCATTTTATATTGCCGTGAGTCCGCCGGAGACTGCTGACTTGTTGGAATCCTTTTGCATGGATGTTGGAGGAGTCGGATGCACAACTTGCTCACGAGGTTCCTTCGTCGAGAAGAGAGAAGATAGAGGAAATGAACACTGCCGTTTGTGTCAAATGCTGTTGCAAAATCTTCCACAATCTTGCTAACCATAGTCATCAATAAGCTTGGACACAGTGACCCTCAAGGTTTTATTCACTAGACTGTTTCCCTTCAACTGGACAATCAGCAGGACGGTTCAAGCTTTCGTTTGGATCGCTGCTGTGCTCTCCGAGAACAAACTGTCGTCTCATTCAAACGTCATCACACGTCCTCAAAGATGTACTGTAGATTGAGAATCGATTGTCTCTTAGTTTTGCACTCATCGAACGGGGAGTGGCCTTTGACGGTGCATGACTTCTCAGCTGTCTTAACTGTGAGATAGTGCTACCGCCCTCTAGTGTCATAGGCATGCAAGGACATGTCACTGTTCAATGTGGATGAGATTTGAAGGCGCTAAAAAGAGTGTGTTGCTTTTGAATCAATTTGGGGTGTGGAAGCAACAGAAGTTTGTCAAGTCAAAGTAGTCTGGATACAAATGGCAAAGGAGAAACCTGGAACTGTTGAAACAAAGTATTTTTGTAATCATCTGCACTGTCCACCCTCACAGAAATGCGTTTGCTCAACTCTGGCCACAAAAGGTTTCCGTTCTTAATGCTACTTTCATTGCAGTTATGTATTGCTGTCAATAGTCTCTTTAATAATATATTTTTTTAAAACCCACCTTTTGCATTCTGGATATTTGCAAGTCTTCATTATTCACATGTGCTACAGTAAGGTCATTCTGTACTTGTTATTCTATCGCATGCTTCATATCCTTAAAGTATGTCCCATGTAGCTTCTACAATAATGATGAAGCAGTTTATCAAACCAGGGTGTCATTCAGGGTGAAATAACAAGTAATACAACTAGAGGACGTTTGTAACCAGGAAGACAGTTTTGGGGATTGTGTAAAGTTTAAAAGTAAAACAAGTTAACAATTTGGGGGAAATTATTAAATGCACCAAGATGCAGTAGTTTACGGCCAACAGAGGCACGATGACACCTGTTGCAAAAGATGAAGCGGGACATTGAAGGGTATTCATTTGTTTTGTTTTCCTCACCACAGCACAGTAACGGATACCCTTAACATTTCCTTCAGGCATTTTTCAAGTGACAGCAAATCAAAGGAAACAAAAATTATAATCTTTGTCAGCCCAAAGACACAGCCTGATCGACTGGGAAACATCTGTCCTGGTTGTGGACCCTCTTTTCACCTAGGTGTTACATGTCCTAGAAATTGCCTCCTACTTGTATACCTGTTGGAAGTCAGTGAGATGCTGTCAGACATAAATGTGGCTGGAGCATGATTTAGTGTGCTCTGACTCCACACTGACAGTAGACTCTGTGCATTACATTCCGCATAATGCTGCCTTTTTCTGCCTGGAAGTACTTGTGAACTAACAGTATCCAAAATGCGTCTTCTGCCCACTGCACGCCACCTCTTTCTGACTTCAGCCAGACTGTCTACAAAAAATAGCTGTTACTACAGTGTGGGAAAAAGAATATGTAAATAGAGAAGAGTATTGAAATGATAGCGGCCCGTCCCTCTCTATTTCTTCAGCCTGCTGTCGGATAAAGTGAAAATACACTTGTCATCAGAGTGGCAGAAAAACATCTTGACTGCAAAAGTACTAAGTACTGCAAGTGCTACAGGGCCCCCTTTGAATATTTTAACCCATGTCCCTTCATTTTAATTTACTGTTGCCTCTAGTACAAGATTTATGTTTTTGATCTACGAAAATGAGAGCATAAGACCGAAAATAGAGGAAGTTAAACTCGTTAGTTTGGGGGCACTGGATAGACCAGACAGTGCAAAATCAGTTGTTTTCCTCATGCCAGCCAAGTTCAGTCAGAACAAAGTGTTTGACTGGATTACCTTTTGTTTTGGCCAAGTCTAAGCTGGAGCTCCTGTAATTGACTATAGTGGAAGGAAGATTTTAATCATGATTTCTCTGGATAACTTGGATTCAATTTATTTTTTAAGAGACGGGGATACTTTTTTAGCACCTGTTGATCATGCCTGGCAGAATGGAGCTCAATGGATAACACATGAAAGGCAAAACCCAGAAATCTGGGAAGACATACAGTAGGTGAATGCCCAAAGTTATTGGAAGTATTTCTGGTGATGTCATGTGGACCCTCTTTAAAATGTTGCACCACAAACGGGTGTGTTTTCCTTTTTTTGATTTGTTATTTCAAAATTATACATGACATTTTCTAAAATGTCAGGCTCACAGAGATAATAAAAAAATGTATTTTATTTAGTCCAAGCTTTGTTGGCAGCTCTGGTCAGGTCAGCAGACAACTAAATATCTGTACGTCCATCGACAGCCATGATTTCATGTCCTGCAGGTTATCTTAACATATACTGAACATATGAGAAGCAGAGTCAACACATTGACCCTCTGTGCATGGTCACCATTATTTATCTAAGATGCAATGACTCAATCATTCTTTTTTTAAGCATTGTTGCAGCAAAATGTATTTATTTATCTGGATGTGACTGATTACTTGAACATTTTAGATTTATTTTTCTCAGCGCTGTTCTGTTTTCTATTGTCATTACCATGAAATAATTGACCAGTGTGATTTATTATTATTATTATTGTTGTTATTATTATTGTCATGACATAGCATCTATTGTTTTTTTGTCATCATCAATACTTGTTATGGAGTAATGTTTTAAGCACACTGGCATCCATAGTTGTACCATTGTCATTCCAACTGATGACAGCTGGAATGTTTGGAATTGAAAAGAAAAAAACAAAAAAAAATTCTCCCCCCCCCCCTTTTTAACTAATGTTCTCATTTCTCCCAGATCTATACAAATATCTGCTGTTAAGAATTCCCACCCATTTATCTTAAAACGCCTCAAGTGTTCTCGTCGTCACTCTTTTGTGGTGACCTAAACTAGGAAAAATAGATATGAATAAAAGTAATAAAGCCACAAAAGTGTCTGGAAACCAGGTAAAGTAGGCCTCAACATTCTCATAATTCATTGTTCAAACATGTTGCCTTGGAGAAAGAATTGTAGAAATGTAGGTTTAGAAAAAAAACCATTTACGTTCAAGTTCAATCTTGGATTAGATGTTATTGAAGAAATGAATAACCGAAATCCCCAGCATCCTCACCCCCCCACACACACACACGCAATTATACATACAGACACATTAAGGCATTGTCACAATTTTTTTATACCTTTTAAAACTTTAATGAACAGGGATGTGGCTTTTCCATGTCAGTCAAACCATACCAGAGCAACAGTGCTCGATTGGCCTCCTTTCAGCAGAATGGGGAAACTTAACTTAGCAGGTAGGCTTTTGTCATTTGCATGAATGTGGATTTTGATTGTATTGTGTCGGGATTCTGTCACTGATATTCGATATGTGGATATTTGGAGGAATCAGGATTATGACAATACATAAATAATTATGTAGTTGCAGAAAGTAATCTTATGCTACTGAGACCTCACTGAAGCTGTTTCTAAATTCGAATATAAGTTCCCTGAGTTTCAGTTCAGTCCTCCCATTCTGCTCTCATCCTCAAACTAAGAGTATTGTCTTTTTCCGACTGACGTAAATGGTAGCAGATGTCAACAGGTAGCCTTGAAGGAGGGATGTGTACTTGCATAAAAACTGTGATATCCACTCACTCTAAATGCAAAAGGCAGAAAGTAAATTAAACACGTGAAAAAAATTAATATGGGGATTTGGAAATCAACGTTTTTACACTTAACAGAAATGAATGTAAAGGGGTTGCTCAGGGGTAACAACCCTTGCAGCAGAAATGGAGTGAACCCAGTACTGTTTAAAGTGTACAGTTAACAATCTTGCTTGTTCTTATTGTTGAAGCTGTTGATATATATATCACACACAAACATGTAGATAAAATAAATGGCAGTGGAGCAGTGTCAGTTTTGGTACCAGGTACTTTGTAACCGCAGATGGTGCCTCTGATTACTTCTCTTTCTCTGCACAAAGCAGACCTAACATGTGGACCAAATGACAGACAAAGCTACCGTTCTGAGGGGAATGTTCACACTCAAACACCCTGCAATTTGTATTCAGTTCAAAAACAGAAAATGGTACTCCAAATGCTTCTGATGAGAGGTGATTGAGAATGAATGCTTGTGTTTTCCGTCGCACTTTCAGTTTTACTTTTGGAGTTGAAAGTGAATTGGCCCCAATCCTGCAAAGATTGATTGAATAGCATCTCGGCTCATGTATTTTCATAACAACAATGCAAGATACCGTGGCTGTACAAATGAGTAAAGTAAAAAAATATATCTGTGTATAAAAAAAATTAAACTATTATGTATTTCAGGGAATACAAAAGAGAAAACAGTAACATATCTCTTTTTCCTTAAGCGAGAGCTCCTGTATTCAAAATGTGTTTTGCTTCAATCTGTAAATATTTGAATGGCTTATAAATCTTAATTGTAACCTTTTCAGGTATTTTTGTACAAATAAGGGACTGATATATTCTGTTTATTGTAATTAGAATAAAACATTAATACATTGATATGAAAAAAAAAAGTTTTGTCTTTATTGGGGGAAACCTCCTTTATAACATTTGCTAATTTAAGAATGAAACACTGCTATATATGTATAATATCGTATGTAATAGATGTATATAGAGTGTACAAACCATACTGCATGTGCATTGGTTGTCTTAACCATAGTTTTGAAGATTGAGGTGTGTCCAGAATCTAAAAAACAATCGGTCCTATCCACTATTCCCATTACAAGTCTTGTCCTCTTAATTTCTGCTAGATGGTGCAATTTCACAACACATTCAAGGGCTGATAAAAACTTATTATCATGGAGAACAATTTAGCAGCATGTGGAACCAATGAATCCTGCAAATGATTAATGTGACATGTAAATACTTATGGAAAGGAAAATCAGGTTAATGTGAGGTCCCACAGTAAGAACACTGCATTGATCCTTCTAAGAATGTAACCTTTGGGTGGTGTGTCACACCCTTTGGATTATCAGTCATGCAAAAATAGTAAGGGTTCAAAGGCTTAAAGTAAAACAAAATAGATCTTTGGTGTGTGCAAAAAACAAAACACAAAAAAAACCTTTACACAAACATTGTTAAAGTATGTTTGGGTACATATTGGATGGAGAAAATAACGTAGTAATGTAATACTATGAAAAAGAGAGTTTATAATTTGACATTATGAACTGAATGGAAGACTTCACGGCCATAGTTAGTTTGTCGTGTCCCATCTACTTTATATTTATATTGTTTTACTCTAAACTGACTAAATATTAGATGTTGAACTGCACTCTATGAGTGCTGTACATCCATGTATGAGTATTAAGAGTGTTTCTTACTGTAGATGGGTTTACCTGAGATTGTCTTTAAACTCTTTGCCAGCCTGACCATTCAACTAATAACATTTATACTGCCTGAGAATCATTAACAGCAAGGTTACAGAATAACAAATGATCAGATAAGGAAAACATTATAGTCCATCAAATCTCATGGCTGTGTGACGTACACAAAATGCATGGCCACATTTTTTGATAATTTGGTTAATATTTGATATGATGAATTTCTGTGATTTTGGTAATTTCCTGAACTTTCAAATGTACTTTCTCAGTATAAAATAACTGATGAAGTAGAAGGATCTATAAGACTAACTTCCTCAGAAGTGTATTATGCCCAGTAGGTTGCAGTGCAGCGCTGTGGTTTCGCCTCGAGACTCTGGACTTTTATGTGCGCATGCATCTTCTTCTCATAGCGCGAAAAGACTTTGAGTGAAGAAGTCCTGTATGTTAGACAGCATCACAGTTAAACATTCCTTTCTGCTGTCTGATCACTGCCCTATAAATTTACTAGTTCGAGAAGTTATGTATGATGGACATTTATTGGACAGAAAGTACTGCTGCTGTCTCTGTTTCTCTGTCTCCCACACAATCTGAGTTATTTAGGGGGTTCACACGTGTCCTTGGAACAAGGCCCATTAATGGAGTGGAATGACATATCTGACTGGCTGTATAGTCAGACCCAGACACACTGACTTCAGTCCCACAGAGGATCCTGGTAAGTGATACAGGTTATAATCCCTTTCTTCAACTGTCTCATCAAAGCGAATAAGAACACCACTTAAATACAGTTAGTATGAATGTTTTAGAACATTTTACCTCTTTTATACTTTATCAAATTTTCATGAAAACATGATGACGTGATGAAATGGCCCTCTACATTAAATTAAATGAATATCACTGTATTTAAATTAGTTGTTAACTGACATTACGGAACGTAAAAGAACTGCAACAATAAATGTTTGTGTTTTTTTAGGGTTATTATTTGGGGAATTACAATACAATACAATATGATATATCACAGCAGGGATTTGTCGATCCGGCAACATCTGACTTTTTTCCAATGCCAGACTGTTTTCTTCCCTTAGATGACTAGTACTTTGAAAGTGACATTTCTGTGTAAAACGTAACTTTTATACGGCTCCATCTTTCCATTTCGGTCGGGATATTGGAACCAAGAGAAAGGGGTCTCCTCTAGGGGGAGATTGCTCAGCCCCTGCAGTAAGTTTGAAAGAGAAACCTGTGGATCTCAGAGCAGGGATATAAAAGTTATCTTTTTAAACCAATTGCTATTCGAGCAATATACTACTATACTAAAACATAGGTATAGGGATTGGAGGGAAAATACAATAAAATCAAGAAAAGAAATTAAGATCTATGTTTTGCGGTCAAGAAAAATAAAGTCTATTTTGCAAAATGGCAGCTAAATTGGTTTTGATACTGTTAGAAAAATTCACTCGAGCCGTGGTAAAAATCATTAATCAATGGACATTTATTCTTGCAAGAAGGAACAGAGTTGAAACACAAACAGGTTATGCATCAAGGCTGCTCGGTGGTCTAACGATGAGCATCACATATTTATACTTGTAAAGCGCATAGAGGATTGGCCCCAGGATTGTTTATGATAAGGTCCCTGTCACAAAGGAAAACGCACTCGCATCTGGCATTCATTATCACAACACTTGGACAATTTGTACCAGTTCAAGGATCACACTCTTCGTCGCAAATCAGCAAGGCGCCCGTCCTGGCGTCTTCTGCAGCTTAATCATTATTGTTTAGGGTAGCAAGCTGAAGCATCTAGCTAGTTGCCTCCCTAATAGACAAAACAATTGACAGACCATGTTGATATTGGCATTGGTATCAGCTGACAAGGTATGTTTATAAATGGCAGTGTGCACGGCCACCCTACTCACTGTACCTTGCACATGTTTAAAATAAAAACATGAATATATGAACCTGTGTATTATTTGAATAGCTTAGTATTGAATGCACAATAAAGAGGTATGTTTATACATCGCACGAGGCCCAGTTTAATATAAAACACAATTTTATACTATATATAGTCGGGGGTCCCTGCTCCATCTCTCCATCAGTTTGGGGGTCCTTGGCCTGAAAAACGTTGAAGACCCCTGCTTTACAGTATAGAAGGTGGTATTAATATGAATGATCTGTGTACTTTACAGTATAGAAGGTGGTATTAATATGAATACTCTATATACTTATATATAGTATGTATATAAGATCAGTGGTGGCTGGCCAATAGAGGGCCATGGGGCCTGGCTCCACCTTGAGCCACAAAAAAATTAAAATAAAAAATCCTATGTTTTTATTTTGAAGGGGATTTTTTATGCAGCCTGTCTGCTTGTCCTCTCTGCCTCTCAGAACGCGCAGCTTGGGGCCCAATTTGGCACAAAAGAGGCGGGTCTATGAAGCAGTTTAGCCAATTGCTGATTAAAGATAGAAATGAGTGACATACAATGTAGCCAATCAGCGTCCTCAAATAGATTCAGCTTGGGGCCAAATGCGTTTGCCTTTAACTGTGTTATTTAATACTTTTTTTCGTGTTGGAATAAATGTTCAATATTTAACTGCAAAGTAGTAATGCGTGTTTGATACCTTAATTGTTTTGCATTAAATCATACTGGGATGTTAATTGATTGGATGGCCCTACCTAGAAAATGTTCCACCAGCTGCCATTGTATAAGATGTATTTACTCAGATAATTTAGGTTTGTTTAAATATCTTCCAAATACAATCGTGATATTTTCAAGTAAAACCACAAAAAAGTGTTTTAATGTTTTAATATCTGCAAATATGTCATCGAAGTAAATGCATGGCTCTTATTTTGGTGGGGGCGGAATCCGGACGCAGCATTTTGTTGACGGGACTACTTCCGGTGTGCTGGAGTTCACGTAGCTCACGATGTGAAGTCCTGCATGTATTTATCCTAAAATTAGATAATCAGCTTCACATTGTCACATTCTAAATTAAATATAATCTGATTATATTAACCTCTAATCATCTGAAGCGGCCGTTGATCAAGTGAGCCATATAGTAATAATAATAATAACCATATATATTTTATGTATATATTTATATATGTATACATTATTCAGTTCATGAACAATTCATCAAATATTTGATTTTGTCATTGAAGCTGTTTTGAGACGAGTAAATAGATTATATATATGAATATATTAATTACTTCTCATCCTGTGAGGAAAGAGCCTGGAAGACTTTCAAATCAGGGAGTACAAAGTATAAAATAAATACAGACAATTCGACATCATATTTTTTGTCGTTTTCATGGTAACGTGATATGTTGCAGCAAAGCGCTGTCCCATTCATATTTCCATTCACCATTTCAAGCCCTCACACTCACCCACTTACCAGGTGACGTCAGTATGTCCTTGAGGGTTCAGGGTTTGAGGGTTTAGGGGGACATTGGGATTTGGCCTATGTCCTGTTTGTCTTTCTGTCTTTCAGGTTGTTGCTAATCAGCTGCCAACACACCTGAGCCTGGTGGGAGTGCCAGGTATGAAGGCCCCAGCTCCTCCTCTTTGGCCCCTCTCCTCTCCGACTTGCCTAGGCTGACACGGCTGCCGCTTCATTTGACTGATTGTTTGTTTGTTTGTTTAGTTTGTTTATTTGTTGGTTAAATAAATGTCTATTAGTTTTATCACTCGTCTTGTCTTCCTTATGTTGCAGTCTTTGAGCCAGGTCGTAACATATGGGGGCTCGTCCTAACTTAATTGATCAGGTAACATATTTCAGTTTGTATGGTGAAGTTGGTTCCGCTATTTGCAATTGACTTGATGTGCAGAGACTGTTTTAGGATCAGTAGTAGCCTGGTGCACCTCGTTCGGTGATGAGAGGTTCAGTCTGGTAGTTTGGGAGACATGGACGAGTTTGGTGAGTAGGCTGTTTTTAGGTTATTGTGAGCAGCCTTCGTGATTAGTCTTCCTGAGGAGTGTTTGTGACAGTTTGAGTGGACCTGTATACACTGAGTAAATTGCTGCTGTTCTGTCCCTGTTAGGCTGAAGAGCTGATTCCCTTTGGAGTTCGTTGGGGGGTTTCTGTAGTGTGGTGTGAAAGTGGTTAGAGCAGTTGTCTCGGGGGCACGTCCAAGGCTGCAGGTGGGTGGCCAGTTCATGGTTACTTTACCAGGCCTGCGGGTTTTAGTGCGTAAGTACCCACCACAAGTAGCACCTGAAGGCTAGGGGGGAGCTTACTTAGTTTCTGGATAGGCAGTTAGAGGGACAGGGCTGCAGTGATGTTAGCTGTGTATGGGCTGTTCTGGCTGTTAGTATGTTAGTTAAATTCTGTATGGATCAGTTTGTGTTTTGTGTTCGGGCAGTCGAAGTTTGTTTCCTCTATTATGGCTTCTGTGGAGGAATTCTTCGGAGGAGTTATTGGAGCGTTGAGTTGGATTCTGTTCTTAAGCTTGGAGTGTTTGTTGGTCCTGGCTTTACTGAGGGAAACAAATTCTGGTGTTTCCTGCTAACTGCATGTTTTGTATTCCTTTTTT